GCTGGAAGGAAGCCAAATGAATCATGTTTTACTAGCTGCGTCTGTGACTGGGGCTGACATTTACAGATCGGGGGCGGTGGGGGGGGAATCTTTATGGAGCAGTTAATGCCGCAGTTGGAAGGGGGTTTGGTGGAGGAAATAGGAGCCTCTGTGGGCTGCCTGTAACAAAGGCTTGTTAGAGCTGCTCCTAATTGAAACCAAAGCTTGGGGAATGGCTCTGCTCGTTGTAAACATGTCCAGCCTCCCGCCAGCATGGAGGGAGACTTGAACCTTGATCCTCCATGGCCAGGTGGATTTGAACTCTGGTGTCTCCTCAGATGAGAGACTCAAGCCCCAGCCCCACATGGCATTTCAGAACTTATCTGCTCCTCCCACTCCCACTGCTCAGCGCCTGTTTCCCTCCTAGGAGACTCCACTCCCTGGGCTGGGTGAGATCAGAGACAGAGTCTCCATTCACCCCCCTGGGAGCAGTTTAGTAGTGGAGCCAGACTATGAGAATTTAACATGGGGAGATGGGGGCTGCACTCCCAGCCACCTCACTACAGAGTCCCCTGCCCCATTCAGCGCCCAGACTTGGCATCACGGGCTGCCCTAGGCAGTCCTACACCCTCATGGTCTAGATATAACCACTTTCAGAGACCTGCCCACCTCATACCCTCCCTCCATCTGCTTTCAGAAGGGCCAAAGGGCCTCATCTGATGCCCGGGCTCTGCTAGAACTTAGCTGAGGATGCATGGGGAGGGAAACCGAGGCATAGAGCGGGGCACTAACTTGCCCAAGGCCAAACAATATACCAATGTCAGAGCTGTCTCCTGCCCCCCCTACCCTGTGCTCTGTCCATGCCACCCCTCCCTCCCCCAAGGCTGCTATCTCCAAACTGCCCTTTGTCCAAATGCTATCAGTACACGTACCCCAGGCATGCAGCCTTGGGCTGTGGGGTCAGTTCTCATATAAGACACATCCCACTTCAGCCAGAGCCCAGACCTGGCTGGCAATGTCTGATGAAACCCTCATGTCCATCACTTGTCCCTGTGATATGGAAAAAGATGCTAAATGCAGATCAGTCCCCACTCCTGCTAGGGACTGGTCCCATTGGTACTGGTGGGAGCCTTCCTAGCCCTGAGGCCTTGCCCCTGACCTTGCGTATGTCACCAGTGATTATAAGTCTGTTGGACTCTACTGAGTTACTAATGGGTAATCACATGCAGAGTGTCTGTCACACAGCTGGGCCTGCTGTTTCTGGAAAGGCCAGTTTCAAGGATAGGTCAGAGGGCTGTCAGTTGGGATTGAGGGGCATCAGCAGGAAGCTACCTCTCCGCTAACAGAGCGGTGTGGAAAGAACTTGCTGTAACTCTTGCCCTCGTGCATCTTAAATCCAGACAGCACTGACAGGAGCAGCCTGGGATGGGAGAAGGCAGAGGACAGGGCAGTATCAGGGAGGCAAAGCACCATGTGCCAGGGGAAGATGCTTTCCAGGCTGTGGGGCTGCAAGGAAAGATGCATTGGGGGTGCAAAGCCTCCTTCTGTCTTCTGGAGCAACCTGGGCTGGATGGGGAGCAGAGTGCACTATAGTTCAGGGAACTTCTTGCTGGGAGGCCCTCCCATCTTGCTTGGATCCTCCATTTGGCAGTGGAGTTGTGCAGAGCAGTCCCAACTGCCTGTAGACCCAAAGGGGCAGGCTGTACCCCACTGGGAGACTCCCTCTCTGCCCTCCTGAGCTCTTATTGCCCACAGAGGCTCTTGCCAGGTGGGGCACCAGGCCCCATCTGTATCCCAATGCACTCCATGCCAGCTCCATGCAGTCTTTGTGGTGAAGGCCAAGCCAGGCCAGACCTCTGGAAGAGCCTGTCCCAGATTAGCAGGCTGTGGCTAAAATGGGCAAACCCAGCAGAGCATAACCCAGCCCAACCACAGCTCAGGGAAGGGGCTGCAAGCTCGTTGGCTCTTCCTGGACCAGTGTGTCCCTCCCTGCCTGATGGCAACAGATGGACAGAAATGGGGAGGTTGAGCCTCCAAGATACTGTGGCTTCCAGAGGGGAAATGTCCCCTGTGGGTATTATTCAACAGTCCTCCACTGGGGATGTATCTTGCCCCCTCTGCCCCTCTGGTGCTGGGTCCTGCCGGAGACTGGGTGCTAGATTAGGTAGATCTGCCTTTCTCTACCAGTCCTGGCCTCCTTGCAGCCACCACCCCCATGGGCTGAACAGCTCCTGCTTTGCTGCTGCCCCACAGCCATGTCCACCATTAATGAGGTGCCAGAAAGCTAATAAATCATTCCTGCTCTGGTCACAAATGGCTTTTTCACTCTCTCTGATGTTGTGCTGCTGTTCACAGGTGCCAGGAAACAGGGCACCTGCATGTGCCGGTGGCACAGATGAGACTGGGCAGGCACGGACATGGCCGAGTGGCAATGAAATTCCCCTCAGGCTTATCTACAGCCCCCACCCTTCCATCCCAAAGCAGAAGCCAGGCACACACACACCCAAAGACACACTGCTATCTCAGCCCTGGAGGAAGTGTATGGGGACTAGTCCCCATACACACAGCCCTGCCAATACCCTCAGTCCTGGACCACAGCCTCTGCTATCACACACCTGGTCTCCCAGTTGTGGTCTGCCAGTGCCCCTCACTTTCAGCTGACAGCCCTCTCTCTTGTGTCCCACACTGGGGTCTCTCTTTAACCGAAGAGCTGTCAAGCTGCAAAGCTTGAAGAGAAAACACCTAGTCAAACCTGGCCCAGGCAGCTCATTTGTGACCTAGACCAGTGGTCTCCAAACTTTTTTGATAGCGCACCCCTATCAGTAAAAAAATTTTGAGCACACAGCTCCAATATATGTATATTTATATAAAGATACATCTAAATCAAAGTTCTAATATTTTCTTCCCGCACCCCAATGGATTGTCTTGCGCACCCCCTGGGGCGCGTGCACCCCACTTTGGAGACCACTGACCTAGACTTTTCTCTTGCAGCTTTTGTGAACCCTCTTCCTCCCCATACTGCAGCAAACTGGGAGTAGGGGCTGGAAGGGGAGAGGCATGTGTGGGAGGGAATGAGAAACACATTTATTTTTGAGATATAAACTTGGACTCTGTCTGCAGCCTAAGTCTGCTCCAGCATTGGGACATCAACCAATAGAGGTTGCCCAGCAATGGGAAGCAGCCTGGGCAGGGTGGTGAACTGTCTCCCAGAGAGTACCCTGGACAAAGAGAATTGATGAGCTATGAGGTGGGGGGTCTTACCAGTGCCTGTAGTGATGTTGTTATGGCCTTAGGCTGGGCAGTCTGTCTTTGTAGCTCACATATCATGCATGCACCTGTGTCATTGCATGTGTGTGTGCACATTCCTACCCAATTTGTTAAGTTTTGTAGTTGTCCCACAAACAAGAGATCTTCTCTATACTCTTCCTTACAGTCCCCTTAGCTCCCAGTCCTAGGGGTATGTGCTGTGCCCTGCTCAAGCAGCCTGCAACTGGCACTAAGGTATTTCCTGCAACCAAAGCAGTGTCCTAGGGTAGTCAGGCTACGTGTGACAGGGTGTAGGTGAGCATAGGAGTGAGTATCAGCTGGTATATGTGTGTACAGGTTAGGGAGGTGTGTGTGTGTGTGTATACGTCTGCCCACACATGCTTGCTTGTCATGTGCATCCATGTGTCAGTTTGGGTGTATCAGCTCTGTCTGTACTTGTGTTTGGTAGTGTACTTCCTCCTTTTTGAGCAGTCTGCATTGTTAAACCAATTGGATTGAGGAAGGGTTGCTGGTGCACTTCTGCCCTGAGCACAGGGTTTTGTGAGTGTTCAAGGCCCATGTCTGAGGGGCAGTGTGCACTAGAGGCAAGCATGAGAGGTCCTTATGTGTTGGTGGTGTGTGTATAGAGTAAGCATGGGATGCCTGCATCTGGATGCAGCGTGCACATTAGATGAATGTGAGGTTATGTGTCTGGGAGCGTGCAAGGCCTGGGTGTGTGATTAAAGTCTGGGCTGGGCTGGGGCCCATAGCAGAGGCTCTCTGTGTCCTGGAGTGCCCTTTACATCCTCCCCTGTCCCCACCGGCCTCTAGCTCTGTACACGCAGTCCATATGCCCTGGCTGACAGGAGGTGATTACTCAGGCAGAAGCCCAGGCAGCTGTTCCAGCACAAACATCTGCACAACGCAAGGAGAAGAGGTGCAGGGACGGCACGTGCTGGGGCAACTCCCATCCTTACACCGTTCCAGGAGACCCTTGGACAGAACCTCCCTGCCTGGCCCCCTCAACTGTGCTGGCCTGTAGGGGACTCCTCTGACCCAGGCAGGGCTTGTGGCTGGTGCAGCAGGTACCTGACATGACTGCACAACCCCCATCCACTGCCCAGCTGGGGATTCCTCTGTCCCTAAACCCATGGCCTCTGCCCCACCCTGAGGTTTGTACTGCTCGTTGAACTTCATAAAGGGGTCCCATCTCCCTCCCCTGCCTACTCCCTCCCATCCTACTCCTAGCTGGTGCCTTGCTGAGATTGCACAGCCTCTTTGTCTATCACCACAGAGCACTGGCATGGGAATCAGGATGTTTTCCAGCTTTCCTGATGGCCCAGACAAGTCTTGTCCCCATTCAGTGCCTCAGTGTCCCCTCCCTACCCTGTGTGTGTTTTGCTTGGGCAGGACAGGGGCTATTTCTCAGTGTGTCTGCGCAACACCCAGCATACTGGTGCCCTGGTCTCTGTGCCATCTCTGTAGAGGCTAGAGGATTACAGGGAGCTCGCCCCTCAACCCCACTGGGCCCTGCCAACATCGCCCATCTCAAGGCTGGGATATTCAGGTCCATACATCCACCTCCCTCTGTGCTAAACCCTCTGTTGGGGATTAGCTCATTCCAGGCTTGTCCTTGTGTGACAGCCACTAAGATCTGAGCTGCGACCCATCAAACTCATCTTTTCTCACCCACCATGCAGTGGCCACAGGACTTGAACCTACCTTCCTTGGGGACTTCCCCTCTAACAGGTGCTCACTCTTTGCCCTTCCCACAGGATACGCACCTGGGGGCTCCTTGAAGGGAGGAAAGCCTCCGGGCTGGAGGCGGAAGACACGGGAAAGTTTGCTGGAGACCAACAGGACCCGAATCAGCCAAGACCTGGTAGGGGGCAGCCTGGCCATTGACACCCTGCCAGACAACGAGACGCAGATTGTGGTAAGTGGGAGAGGGGGTGGGGGGCACTGCCTGGATACTGGCTACAGCAGAGGGTTGCATTGTATGAAGATCCTCTCCTCTTGGGGATGCTATGAGGAGGGCTATATGGGAGGTCATGGTGAGCTCCACATTAGCTCCATGCCTGAGATCTGTTGACTCCAAGGTTATGAAGAAGGCCCCATGAATGGCACTCATGCCATACACATGGCTTTGTGCAGAGGTCAAGACATGTCACAACAGACCTGCGATCCATCCTCTGAAAGGATAAGAACCAAGTCTTCCACACTTGACCTGCACAAATGATCCAATCACGTAGCAACTGAGGGATGTATAGGTGTCTTGTGACCCACCCATAACCCACCCATGTTCATGGGACACACACACAAGCCTGCCTGGTTAATGCCACATACGTGACACATCAGTGTCCTGTGACCTTCCTGAGCCCACATGCACAGGCCAGACCATCCGCCTCATTCACCAGCCAGCTGCACCAGCCCCTTGCCAAGGCGGTGTGGTTTCCCCATTGAGGTTTGGCCTCAGCATGTTATTTCAGGCCTGGGAAGGAAGCTGGTGGCTGCGCTGGCAGTGTGTGACTGGGTGGTACCAGATCCCATAGGGTAATTACACCCCAAAATAAAGCTAGCAGGTGGGGCAGGAGTGATGGCCCCAGGGCTGGGCAGTGACCCAAGTGGCAATGAGGTCCCTGCTTTTGCTAAAATTAGATAACTTCACCTGATGGGCATTGCTCACCAGGCTGAGCCTCCCTACAGCTATCAGAAATCCATTCAGTGTTGTTTCTGCCACCACATCCTTCCTTAGGGGTTGGCTAAAAGACCTGGAAACCTCTCACTAGCTGGGCCAATACTGCCCCTCAGCTCTGCCTCCTGCTATTCCATCCCCGGGCACCCCATGCACTGCTCTGCCTGTGCCCCTCTACCCTGCAGCCCCTTCCTATTCCAGTCTAGTCTCCCACACAGCTTCACTTCAACCCTGCCTAGCAGCTACTCTGCTGCTCTGACCCTGCCTACCCTGCTGATGCTCCTCAGTCCTGACCTGCAGCACCCTCCCCCATTGCCTGTGGCAGCCTTGGCCCATTTTGTGCCCTGCTCCGCCAGTGTATCCCAGTCCCAATTCTCTGTAGCCCTTTTCCTGCCAGCTCTGCACCACCACACCCATAGCTTCTCCACTCCTTTGGCATCCTGGCATTTCTCACCCTTGCCCCTCCCTCAGCTGCAGCCTGCCAGTGATGCTGAGCGGGGTCAGAACCAGCAAAACTGCTTGCACCCAAGCCCTGGCCTCCTTCCCAGACTCAGGTCCTTCAGGAGAGGAGGAAAGATGAGGCCTCTGAGTCAGTGTCCCAGTAAG